TATATATATATATATATACACACTCTTTGGTGTTCTCTCCCAAGAGAAGTCAGTTGCACGTACTTGGGCTGAGCCTTGGCTGGAAAACTTACCTCAGAACTCTCCATGGCTCATTTTTAACATATTTAACATATCAACAGAGGGTGCCCAGCAAACACTCTATATCCTGAATGCCTGCTTGCAAAATGTGAAAATGTGAATTCAGGACTCAGAAGAGGCTGAACTTGCACAAGCATATAATTATAAACTCTATCAGAGCAACTATGCTTTGACACATTACTTTTATATGAATGTATAAAAATATACTATGTTTAGGAGCTCCTGGGTGGCTCAGTCGGTTAAGTGTCTGGCTCTTGACATTGGCTCAGGTCATGATCTCACCTCCGTGAGTTCAAGCCCCAACTCAGGCTCTGCACTGACAGCATGGAGCCTACTTGGGATCTGTCTCCCTCTCTCTTTGCATCTCCCCTGCTTGCTCTCTAACTCTGTCTCAGAAACATTTAAAAGTATATACGTACTATGTTTTAAGGAAAATAAAATCCAGAGAGCCTAGATGTGACTTCTAGTATGCATTTCTCCCCCTCTGCACGTCTTTTCTTTCTTTCTAAAGAAAACAAAAGTTAATGTCTTCTGTCCCCTTGTCCCTTTCCAGAGAAGAGAGTGAGAGCGTGCTAACGCTGAAAGGCTTGACTCCCACGGGCATGCTCCCCAGCGGAGTGCTTTCTGGAGGGAAGCAGACCCTGCAAAGCGGTAAGCAGGCGCACTGGTATCGGTAGGACTGTGTGCCCGGGCATCTCTGTCCAGGGTGTTGTTAGCCTGATTCATTCATCCATTTGAACTCGGTCTTGGCCTTGGTCTTCAGTTCTCAGCGGGAGGAAGGGCTGAAACCCCACATCAGTTTGACCAATTGTGTCCCACAGAATAGCACCCTCTTCCCTGGAACGCAGGCCTCCCCCGCCGCCCGCCATCCACTCATGTACACCCTAACCGCATAGTCAGCCCCCGCCTGGAGACGACTCACTTAGGTTTGTCTACACACGTGATAGCGTGGACAGCTTTGAGCCGTTATGTTGCTAAAAACAATTTTTTTTTATGACGCTTTTGCTAAATGTTCTGGTTAGCTGTCTGATTGAAAAAATAAACACTCACATAAATACACATCCGTTACGGTCTAGATTGTAGTGGAGAATGGGAGAACATTAAAAAGGGTGATTTTGTTACCTGCTTGAGTAGAAATTGGGAGTCCTATGTGTCTTTTCTCTGATTTCTCCATCCAGAACATAAGAGACTGAGTATATATAACCACATTTTATTTTTGGAAAAGAATGAAAACATTTCCTTTAATGTAGAGATTATTATTATTATTATTATTATTATTAAAATGTGTAGCTTTCTGGACGAGTGCTGTCCAGTAGAAACTTTTGTGATGATGGAAATTTCTGTGTCTGTACAGAGGCCACTGGCAACATATGGCTATCGGGCAGTTGAAATATAGCAAGTACAAACCAAGGAACTGAAAGTGATTTTTTTTAATTTTAGCTAATTTTTATTAATTTGCTTTCAATAGCCACATGTGACTAGTGGCCACTACATCAGACATCACAGTTACTATATATTCTTTTATGTTTGTTAATTTTGTCTTGCTATTTTAACTAATCCTACCATTAATTAGAGTCAAATTTTAATAATACTTTATGAAAATTTAGATTAGATTTTAAATCAATGAATAAAACTCAGTAAAACAGAAATACGCTATAACATTTTGAAAACTAATCTCAGCCTCTTGCTTATTTTTCCATATCTTTCCCCGAATCTTTTTTTTTGTGTGTGTGTGTGCTTTCCCCCTCCCCCCATCTCTACCCCTCAATCTAGAAGATGAATCTATTCTTATGGTTGGTTACTTGATTTAGGCACACCCCTGCTACATAGAGCCATGTTCAGCATCACTATAATTTTCTTTATTTTCATATGAATTTATTCCAAAAACAATGTCTTAGTTCCCACAAAAAGTCACAAATTTGTAAATGAAGATAGGAAAATACATCAAAGTACATTTCCCCTTGATTTCCCCTAAAAATAATTTTGATAACTTAAAAAAACAAGACTTCTCCCACCAAAATAAACATGCTTTCTAAAAAATGAACAGAAATGAATCATTTATATGCACAAAATGCACAACAACCTACCTAATTGACTGAAATCTGCATAGTTTCTGATAAGCACATTTTAAGGTACAGCAGGTGTATTATCAGAATCTGTGTGCCACATTTGCTTTGAAAGGATATATTTAATAATGGGCAGTGCATATTTCTGATATGTTGGTGCTGGTGCGGTTCCAGATTTTTTGCTTTATTTTTGAACTTAAGTTATTTAAGTTCTTAAAATTCTTTGTTTTGTTTCTAGATTTTCACCTGTATTTTAACTGACATTATTCAGTTTCCTTTTCTGTTACTTTCTGTTAAATCCATTGGTGTATGTTGTTCTGTGTTGAGCTCTCACACACACAAACTCACACACATTTAATAGACACAAGGGTTGGGACCCCATTAGTCCTGAGAACTTGAAAACTCACTATTTTAAACCACATACATTAAAACAATTTCAAAATCCACTGTCTGGATTTCAAATTGTCAAAAAGAAGAAACTGCTTAAAGCTTTACTCTTTAGCTTTTCTCCATGGTGGTAAACATTTTACATTTTTATCTTAAGGGATTTAGAAGGCACTGTAAGGAAATTGTAGTGCACATTTGACTGTTGCTCTAGTCTTACAACTTTAAATTATAAGAAATATGCAAATTAAAGTCAAGGGGTAGAATTTTAATATTAAACATTTTGGAGTTACAGAGAAGTTTTGCATTTTAGCACTTAATTAGGGAAATATCAACTAGCCTTAATAACGTGGAAAGGCTCATACACCTGTACTAGTGAGAATACAGAGGCTAACCTTATTATAAAAATTGCTGATAAAGCAATGGGCTTTTAAAGTGTTGCCTCTGGGGGCGCCTGGGTGGCGCAGTCGGTTAAGCGTCCGACTTCAGCCAGGTCACGATCTCGCGGTCCGTGGGTTCGAGCCCCGCGTCAGGCTCTGGGCTGATGGCCCAGAGCCTGGAGCCTGTTTCCGATTCTGTGTCTCCCTCTCTCTCTGCCCCTCCCCTGTTCATGCTCTGTCTCCCTCTGTCCCAAAAATAAATAAACGTTGAAAAAAAAATTTTTTTTTAAAAATAAAGTGTTGCCTCTGAAATATGCTGAGGCTTCAGTATTTAAACTGCCTCTTCTTTAAAATGCTGATAGAATTCTTACTGCAACTGACATGTTACCAGTTGATTATAGCATTTCAGGAATTTCATTTCCAAAGATGGTATTCCAGGAAGGAAAACTGACTTTAAATTGGGTTGCCTGGCAAAGGGAGTCCAGACTCCATACATCATTGCCTCCATTTTCCCCTTCCCCTTCACCACTCTAGACATGCTCAGTGTTTGTCTTTGAAGAGTTACATACGCCATCAAGTTGTATTTGATGCATTGATTGGATTGTTCCTCTGAATTCGCGCACACGCAGACACACACAGACACACACTCCACTTTTCCGCTGCACTAGGAATCTCGCTGTTTAATATTGAATAGTGTGAATTATGCCACTGATGTTATGACACTGCTTCAAGGTCTGCCATTTTGTCTGGCATTTTAAAATCCTAAATCACCAGGCATAGCAGTGGTTTTATTGTCCTTTCTGTGTCAGATGTACATTTTAGAGTAACCTAGTCTCTTACCGATTCCATCTAAATAAGAGGAAACTGTCCTGTGTTCCTCAAGGGTTAATCATTTTGTCATTTATTAAGGAACAAAAACCAGTTCACTCAGATAGGTGTATCCAGCTCATAAAATAGACTGATTTTCGTTGTGTGTTTCCTTTCTTTATACCGTTTCCGTTTTGTTGTCTGTGCCAGAATCCAGCACTTACAGGAACATTAATACTCTGAGCTCCCTTGAACGTCACTGATTTGTTCTTAGAATTAAAAATCCTCTGCTCATTTTTCTCATTCATTTTGCACCCCCTTTCTTCTCTTCAGCTACTGTTGAGGCTATTGAGGCTGATGAAGGTAAATTGGCCAGTCCCCTTTCTGTTGTACCTGCAACAGATAAGGGCTCTGCTGGGTGTATTCATTTTTTTTTATTATTTTATTATTATTATTATTATTATTATTATTATTATTATTTTGCTGTAGCTTGTACAGAGTGTGTGGGTGTTGGGCTAACAGTTGTGGCTCAGTATTAACCAAAATGTTCTTGCTTTAAAGGGGAAAATGTCCTTTTATGGTTTGTTTGTTTGTTTTTTTTCCCTTAAAGCTATGTTTGACTTCGTATATACAACGAACCTAGTATAGTCACAGAAAACCAAAGGATTATATATCTTGAACAATGTGGGGTGGGGGTTATGGCAGCTGTTTCGACAAATATCGCATAAAATAATATTCCTTGAGCTGAACCATGTCCCTCCCTCAAATCATTTTCAGTCAGCACTGAAAAGGAGAGAAGAAAAATAGCTTTATTAATTCTAGTCTTCAGAAGTTTCTGGCAAAAAAGAAAAAACAAAGTGTTCATTTGAATAATGCTTCATTGTAGTTCAACACTAATTTATGTCTCTAAGAAATATCCCAACCTGAGACAGCTGTGCATGAGATCAACAGTTCTGTGAGTCTTACAAATTTTGACCTACTGGTATTTGTAGGACAGTTAGCACCAGCAAGATACTATAAAGAGTTCAGAGATACCCAGTGGCTGTGGCAGTGGCCATTACGAGAACAGTGATGATCCAGTCCTCACTCAGCGGACTGTTGACTGTCTGCTTTGAATCAGGTACTGTGCTAGGTGCTGTCGAGGACACCAAGAACTGTACGTCACCCACTGTGCCCTAGCACTACTCAAGGACAACTGCACTGACCCTCTAGAAACTACTTTTGAATTCAAGGGCTTAAAAAATACACAGTTATGAGAGAACTGCGCATCAAAATCGTTTTTAATGTTATCCCCGCCATACCCTCTGGAAATTTTTTTTAAAAAAGAATAATTTGAAGTTCCCCTTTAAAACAAAATTCTTCAGTTGTATTTTGTTCTTGCAAGATCACTTTTTATTTTTCCCAAAATTGTGTGTGGATGGTCCTTTGATAACGATGTGAAAAGTGCCACTTTAGACTGTCGAATTTGCATACGATTTGGATACAGTAGGGGAAATGATAGCCCTGTAAGAGAAAATACAACTGCTTCCTAAATAGCAGTGAATTGACTGCTATTTACGTGGGAATTCTCTATTCCTTTTGGCAAATTCTAATCTGCCGTGTGCATTCTTGTGGATAGTTTGGCTGTTTTCTGTGGTTTCTGTGACTCTGTGTTGTGTTAAGTATACTACCAATGTAAATTGCTAATACCCATTGTCTGACCAGCAACTACAGCAGAGCACGTTCTTCGGTACCAGGGTAGACAGTTTGAGTAGAGATGGAGCCCCATTCCGAACACATCCATCGTTCTAGCTAGATTTTGAATGTCTATGCTCTCAGCCTATTGGCTTTTAAAACCTAGAGCCTCTTCATTTGCCATTGAAATGAATAAAATCGTTCCATAAATTACCACGTTTGACAAACTTTTGCATTTATTCATTATGATGAAATGATATTCACAGTGGTTTAGAAAAAGAATAGAATACCACTCTGTGCCACTATTTTGTCCTTCAAAATAATTGCGTTTTCAGGGTGGGTGCTCATTAGACAGCTCTATTATTTTGCAATTTATTACCAATTTAGAGAAGAATTAAGAGGCTTTGCTTTGGGCCTTGGTCTTTCCCCATTTCCCCATCTTCTTCCTCTCATAATTGACTAATCACCATTTTGCTAACCTTTAAAGTGCAGAGGGGTAACACACTTTTCTCATCATGTAATGAGTTTGGAAGCAACTGTGTTTATCTTTGAAGACTCTCATCCATACTAATAAAAGGCACTGCACATTTCTGTAGAACTGGCTGGCAACGTTTCAGCTAGAAACTACTTGCCTTCCCACCCCCCCCCCACCCCCACCATATAAGGTGGGGAGGATAAAGTTACCATGAGATTGTCCTTGATCAGCCATGGAAATGCAGCCCAGTTCAGCACTGGTGATTGGCCCTTCGATATCTGGCTTGCGCATCACAGGAAGTAGAGCAAACTGATGTCCTTGGTTGCCCATTTACGTACTTTATTCTCAGCTCACTGGTTGGTGCATGCACTGACTAAAGAAATCCTTAAGTTTCTTGCACAAATGCCTTGTCTATCTCGGGAGCACACTAAGGGTTAATTAATGAAAAAACTCAAATATCCATACTGCCTCTTGAGAATTCCATGCTTTCGCTGAAAAGGGCCCAAACCAATCCTGTCATTTTTGCTGAAAGTTATGAAAGGCATTTTCCCCTTATTCTTGAACCGTTACTTTACTTATATCTATACTGATCCACTAAGAAAGAGTTTTTCTTTGATTTAGGCAGTAACGGATACCAGGTGAACATCAGTTTGATCTGAACATCATGTTTTGCTGCTGAAGGGCAGACAACGTTTTTCTACTTCATCCTCATGATTTTTTCTGAGTTCCTCTTATCACCCGCTCCACTTGCTTCCAAAGATGAGCTGGAGAAGCAGGAGTTTATAATTTCTGTTTTTTCTTCATGCCACCATTGAGTTGTTTACCAAGAAGGTCTTTCTGGGATTCTGAGATGGCATGGCAACGCCCCCAAAGTTAATTCCTCTTGTAGCTCCTCTTAGCTTCCACTCTAAAGCCCTCTACTAGACTTTTAGACCTAGCTCACCTGACTCTACTGAATTTGCCGTTAGCGCAGGGGAATAGCAGAAGTAGAGCTGTGTTACGGTCTGTCTAGGTTAGGGTGTTTGATGCAGTAATCATGCTCATGATGTGGACAGTTGATGCTCCGTCTAGATACCTGTCCCTGGTAGCAACCCTCTTCCTTACTTATCCACTTTGGATTTCGTTGATCTAAAGTCTCATGAAGACCCAGAGAAATGTACATTTTACTCACTTGAAGAGGACATTTTGGTTGGCAAGAGACATTGGCTGTTTTCAAACCTTTTGGTTATCTTCGGGTATGGTAAGGAGTCTGTTGTGTTGTGTTCAGGTCCCGTCATTTTGTCCTCTACTAAAGGACTCCCCCTCACTCACTGCGAAATCTCTAACCTCACCTGATGCAAAGCTGTGCCCTTTGCTCTCCTCCGGCTAACCTAATTTTTCCTCTTTTTTTTTTTTTTTTTTA